CATGGAGAGATATAATACATATGGAAAAAGAAAGACAAAGACACTCACCATGCCCATCAGTCCCTCTTTGTAAAGGAGACCCCTGAAGTTCACTGCCTTAATCATCATCCTCTGATGTAGGCATTTTCTAGTCTGTTTCCCCTTGCCATGTAAACAGTAGACTGTTTCTACTCTTCTGGTCTGAATGAGAAGCCATGTTGCACACATAAATCTTTTTGCTGTTACTGCAATGAACAGCCCACTATATGACTCAGATTGGTAGTTATAGAACTCCATGATCTTGCAGGCCTGTAATGAAAGAATTTAGGTAGGTTAGTCAGGAGGATAAGAAGGGCAATGCCCTGTGGCACTACAGACAGGGTTCAAATCCACCTCTATCAATATAGGAGTCCTTAATTCAAAACTTCTTTTCAAAAATCTGGAGATGCTTCTGTTGTAGAATTAAGATGCCTTCACAATACACCAGGACTTAATTTTGGTTGTGACCCTGCAATAGTCCCTTGAACAGCATGTTAAAGAGACACCAGTAAAGGAATTTCTTTCCTGTCTACATGTGAGAGTTTGGTCTTGACAAATAGCCCTCTGGAAGGAAATCCTGTAGCATGAATTGTTAGAATGTCTTGTTAATAAGAATAAACCTGGAGCTAGGTATTGAGGTGGATGCTGGAAGATCAGAGAAGCAGAACAAGCCACAGTCACCTCACCTTGCCAATTCCTCTGTGGTGGTAATCTAATTGTACTGAATTATTATTTTGATTGTATGTTAATAAATAAAGTTGTCTGGGAGTCAGAGCTATTAGAGCCATAGCAAGAGTGTGGCGGTGGTGGCACACGCCTTTAATCCCATAGATATCTGTGTGTTCAGGGTCAGAGCTATTAGAGCCATACCAAGAGTGTGGCGGTGGTGGCACACGCCTTTAATCCCATAAGATCTCTGTGTGTTCAGGGATACAGTCAGCATTGGAGACATATGCCTTTAAGACCTAGGGGGCTGTACATTCAGACAGTGACGAGGCAGTCATGTGTTTGGGTTTACAACCAATGAGAAGGCAGAACAACATACTATAAAAAAAACGAACCGACAGGAAGTAGGTCTCTTTTCGCGAAGCTGGGACAGCAGGAGGAAGGGTGAGATTTTAGCTCTGAGCTCTGACTTCTCGGCTCTCTCTTTTACATTGTTTCTGTGTTTCTTATTTAATAAGACGCTTGGTTACATCTACATTCCTCAGCTGATCCTGTTTCCTCAGACTGGAAGCCTCTGTGTCCTCATCCGAATCTGTCTCAGCTGAACTGCTGCTCAAAAGCCTAAAAGCTTAACTTGTTCTAGTTCCTGGTCCTCATGCCTTAAATACCTTTCTGCTTCCTACCATCACTCACTTCCTGGGACTAAAGGCATGTTCCACCATGCCTGGCTGTTTCCAGTGTGGCCTTAAACTCACAGAGATCCAGATGGATTTCTACCTCTCTAATGCTAGGATTAATGGCGTGAGTGCCACCATTTTCTAGCCTCAGTATCTAGTGGCTGTTCTGTTCTCTGACCCCAGATATGTTTATTAGGGTTCACAATATTTTGGTGAACACAATACTACCATAGTATCCCAATACGTCTACCTGATAAATGAAATTCAGTTGGAAGAAAACACATCAGTCACTGCCCCATCCCAAAACAGAAGTTAGGCTTAAACCTTCAGAGGGAGGTTTGATAATTACTGGAGGTAAAAATCAACTACACAATTTAGGGTAAAAAGAAACCCCAAAGAAAAGTAAGCAGTTATTTTCTTAACTAACAGCCAGAAGTGTCACTGGGATGCTGAGGATTTCATCCTTTACAGAGGCCAAAGATGCCAAAAGTGCTTTGGGGAGCTCTGATCTCTAATGCTAAGTGATTCTACATGCCTTCGGATTGAGAAAAGTTAAAAGTAGTAATGAAGATCTGTTAAAAGGGCCCTTGGTCAGGAGAACTGGATATTTGTCCTGGGTACAGAACTAACATTCAATCTCCTGGCCAAGGATCCTAGTCTATGGAGCCCAAGAAATAATCACTTAGGACATTTATTGATCACCTATAATTGATTAATTGATTGTGCAATTGCAACCCAAACTGCAGAGAAAACTGGAAAATTTTATGGCTCCTTCCCATCCCTCCCTTTCTGTACTGTGAACATCACTGGTTGTAATATGTGGACAATGAATTCCCATTCTCATACAAGCACCTCTGCAATGCCACTCTACATTAAAAACCCTGGGCGGAACTAAAACATTCATTGCCCTGTTTAATTTCCCTTCTCACTGAGTTGGCAAAATACAGCCTGGAATGCCTAACACTTGGTTAAAGTGTCAGGAAACAGTTGGTGGAAACAATATAAAGATAATCCCCAAAATTATGTTAAGAAATTGTAACAGGCTTTATGGCCCTGTGCTGCAGAGACTAGAGATTTGTATTAGAGTACAAGGAAAGCACACACCTTTTCTCTCAGGCTAAACATCTTAAACCTAGAAAAATCACAGTCTTATTAGTCAGGAACACACCATTTTATCCAGATCTCCTATTTTGGTTCAACTAGAGTAACTACAGTAATTTGGTTTCATGAAAGTTCAGTTCTTCAACCAGATTCTTGATTGCTTGATCCATGGGCAGACAGTACAATTTTTGACTATCTAACATTGATTACTTCCGTACTCATTGCTAATGTCATCTACTATCATTACAAAAAAAAAGCTTTCACCTATTTTCTTGCTCGCCCATTTCTTTGCAGTGTCTAAACCTGATTAACATTAGTCTGTCAACTCAATTATTGCACAAGTCCCTCTTTACTTGTAAGTTTCCAGAAATGCCAGAGTTTGGAAGACACTCATTCATTGGTTTATTTTTCTTACTCACTGACCAGTTAAGACCCAGACTTGAATGAATGGTGGGGCTATCTTCACAGTCCTCAAAAGCACAGTCAGGATTAAATGATCAAAGCAATTCTCATTTATAGTGTGTGAATAAAGTCTGAGCTAAAGGAGAAAGTGATCTAAATAGAAAAAAAATGAACAATACCTGATAAAAATGCAAAGAAAACCTTAATGTCAAGACAATACATATGATAAAATGTTTTTTTGCATACACACATGAGGTATTTAATTTTATTTTGTATTCACTATTAAGTATTTTAACATTAAAATTGTTAAAAAGTTTTGACAATACAGAAAATGTTGGGAGTGCATCATCTATACTTAAACTTGTACTTAGGAGACTGAAACATTAGGATTATGAGTTCAAGCACATCCTTGACTAATTACTGACATGCAAGCCAGGCTGGATAACAATGAGCATTTCAAGGGAATTTATGAAAAATGAAACCAGAAACAAAAATCCACCACACTTTCACAGACATCCTTACTTGAAAATTATGTTCACATTCTGCCTGATATTTAAATACAAATAGACCACTTACATGATGGCAATTATTCTATACATTGCAGCAGAAAAATATCACTCACTAAGTGAAAACACAATAGAACATGAAAAGCCACAGAAGGAATATATGAACCACAAAATAAACTTCACTAAATGGATTTGCCAAACATATAACCACTTTATACATCAAATGTTGCAAAACAGAAGTCATAATGTGATCTTCACATCAGTCTTTAGTGAACATTTTTAGTAATTTACTTACTTCAAAGAAATGAAAGAGGGATGTTAGAAGTTTTTTTTTTTTTGAATATGAAGAAAACTGTGATGTCTAAAGTTTTACCAAATATTTATATGAAAAAGATATTCTCTTCTATGACCTTTTCCCTATTTCCTAATATAAATATGACATAAAAAAAAAAGCTCTAAAATATTTACAGGGCTAGAGACACAGCAGTATCTTAATACAAGCTCATTCCCAGGAACAAAGTCAGGATTTTGAGAACTTGCAGTAATCCAAACAACAAGAAGTTCCAAAGGTCTAATCTTCTTGGGAATAAGAATGAACATGCACAAGTACAGAGAGATATCACATAACTATAATTAAAACAACTCAAACTAATTTTTACCCATGTTTTTCTCCAGTAATTGTAGTCACAAAGTTATTGAGGAATCTAAATGCTTACAGAATTTCTCTGCATCATGTATTGGTTTATGTAACAGAAAGCAAGATGAATGATTGACATCACAGAAATCAATCATGTTCAGTCTGTGGTATTATTTGGGAATATTTAGAAAAGGCTGACCTGCTGGAAGAAATATGTCATGGAGGGTTGGTCTAAGAGTTTACCATTTCCCTTTTACACTTTATGCTTTATGTTGTAGATTAAGAATGGGAATTTTCAGTTTCCTACTGTAGCTGTCATGTATGACACTTGTTTCCATGTCACTTTCATTCTGACCCTGTATCCATCTGGAACCAATGGCCAATTAATTACCCATTTTCATATGTTCACATTGACATGATATATCAGAGCAACAGAAATGAATTAGTACACATTCATGAACTTTTACACATGGATTCATTATCTCATGTAATTGAAGTGTGAAATCTAAATTAGTTACCATATCCTTTCAATGCATAATCCTTTCTTCCGTGTGAATTTGCAGGTATAAACCAAATACAGAGGGATGAATGAAGAGATTTTTGACACCTGTGAGATTTTTCTCTCAAGAAAAATCTTGTGTACTGAATCTAAGTGTGTTGGCTAAAGATCTTACCAAATCTTTATAATCACATTTCCTTTGATATGAGTTTTTTTAGATGTTCAGAATCTAATGTTATATTCACAGGCTTTAAGACAGCAATTATACACTAATAGTATTACTCTTGTAGGGTTCTTCTCCAGTATGTTCTTTTATGTATTCTAAGATTACTGTGACATTCAAATTCTTTACCACACTGATTACATTTATAGGGTTCCATTCCAGTATGTGTTCTTGTATGCCTTTGAAGATGACTGTAATGTGCAAAGACTTTACCACACTGATTACATTTGTAGGGTTCCATTCCATTATGTGTTCTTGTATGCCTTTGAAGATGACTATGATGTGCAAAGGCTTTACCACACTGATTACAGCCATAGGGTTTCTCTCCAGTATGTGTTATTTTATGTACTTTAAGATCACTGTTACAAGGAAAGGCTTTACTGCATTGGTTACATTAATAAGGTTTCTCTCCTGCATGTCTCTTTTTATATATTTGAAGACAACTGTGATGTGAAAAGGCTTTACTACCCTGATTACATTCATAGGGTTTCATTCCAGTATATGTTCTTGTATGCCTTTGAAGATGACTGTAATGTGCAAAGGCTTCATTACACAGATTACATTCAAAGAGTTTCTTTCCAGCATGCATTGGTTCATGTGCTTTAAAATGACTGTGATCTGCAAAGGCTTTACCACATTGATTACATTCATATGGTTTCTCTCCAGTGTGTGTTTTTTCATGCCTTTGAAGATGACTTTGATGTTCATAGGCTTTACTACATTGATTACATTCATATGGTTTCTCTCCAGTATGTGTTCTTTTATGGTTTTGAAGATATCTGTTTTGTGCAAAGGCTTTAACACATTGGTTACATTTATAGGGTTTCTCTCCTGTATGTCTCCTTTTATGTATTTGAAGATAACTGTGATATGCAAAGGCTTTATTACACAGATTACATTCATAGGGTTTCTTTCCAGTATGCGTTATTTTGTGTGTTTTAAAATGACTGTGATCTGCAAAGGCTTTACCACAGTGATTACATTCATAGGATTTCTCTCCAGTATGTGCTCTTTCATGCCTTTGAAGGTGACTGTGATCTGCAAAAGCTTTACCACAGTGATTGCATTCATAGGGTTTCTCTCCAGTATGTGTTCTATCATGCCTTTGAAGGTGACTGTGATCTGCAAAGGCTTTGCCACAATGATTGCATTCATAGGGTTTGACTCCAGTATGTGTTCTTTCATGCCTTTGAAGGTGCCTATGATGTGCAAAAGCTTTGTCACAGTGAATGCATTCATAGGGTTTCTCTCCAGTATGTGTTTTTTCATGCCTTTGAAGGTGACTATGATCTGCAAAGGCTTTACCACAGTGATTGCATTCATAGGGTTTCTCTCCAGTATGTGTTCTTTCATGCCTT